TCCGTACCAGCGGACAACTCGGCTGGAGGCGATCGGGGACGGAGATCTTGAACTGAATCGAAACAAATCCTCGCACCAGGATCGGATGGGCATGGACGATGTTCCGGAGCCCAGCCGGGTTGACCGTGCTGTGGGGCCGAGCTACACACACGGGCGGTCCCAGAGAACACCGTGTGGTGCCAGGCTGACGGGCAGGCTTCGCCCAAGATGGGAGATCTCCACGGACTTAAAACGGTCCATCTCGAAGTCTAGAAGGGACTCTTATATCGTGCCAACCGACAGTAGGGCAGACGGGCCCACCCAGCTGGGCTAGGACCGACATTAGGGCAGACTGCGGACCCTACGAGGAAGGAGGGAAGGAAAATCAGAAGGGCAGACAGGCCCTCCCAGCTAATTAAAAGAGTCGTTCGGGACTGGATGTTACGTATTCGCCATATTGACATGAAAATTAGTGGGTAATTGAAAAAGTGAGGTCAGACCGCTGCGGTACTAGCCATGGTACTGAAATGGCATCGTAAACATTGTCAACAATGCACCATATCACAAGTTATGAAGGTACGTTTTAAGGGAATGCTATACTAGTGTCAGACGGTTCTTTGAATGCATGTCATAGATGTGATAGAAATTGCAGAAAGACAAGAAAAATACATTTTTTTGCAACGGTATTATGGGTTCCTCTGTATCATACGTCTTGCGGTTCAGTTGCAGAATGCCGACTCCAAGCTGAAAGGATACTGTCAGGATGTATCAAGGGCACTGATTACAGATTAAAACAAAAATCGCTGCCACGTCAACTGGTTTGGTATATCAGTCATGTATTAGTGATATATATATATATATATATTTGACATGATTTATTAATACACAAGAATAAATGTATTACTGCATTTATACATCAAAATCGTATATATAACATCCTTATTTCTTACCCTACTCCATTGCACTTGTCTTTTCCCCTGGCATACTGAAACTGTAGACACCAGGCACAACTGATGATCCAGATACATGTAACACAATCTTTCCTAATGCAAACAACAAGCCTAATGGGAACCTCGTTTTACAGAAGGCCATACAAATTCCATTTCTTGTTTCATGGACCTTTTGTAGAAGGGAAAGTGAGCAACTTAATTGAAGCCGAGCTCTAGTCAATGCTGTAATCTGGATTTAGATCATGTTACTAGTCTTATAATTGCATCACAGTTTGTAGTGTTTATCATGTACAATAAAACTCAATTTGTGTTGCCTAAAAGGACATTGACATGCATGGTATGGTATGGTCTAACTTCTGTTCAAATCAAGGTGGGCTCACAAGAACAAGGAGCAGGAGAGTCCTTTAACAAGATCTTAAACTTGTATGACCCGAGTAGAACAATCAGAGATACACAGTTGTACACATAAAGGGGAATATAAGAAAGGAGTACAAATGACTATAATAAAGGAGTAATTAAACATGGGGATGTTTGGAAAGGTGAAAGAAAAGCCCTTTGTTACCATCAAAACTATTGTAATGGAAACTAGCAGGTACATGTGTAGTGTTGAAAAATGATGTGTATGCGGGTATGCCTCACCAGGCAGAAAGGCTTCTATTTACAGTCTATTTCCTGATTTCAGTAATGATATTCAGATATGATAGCTGGATGTATACCCTCACAGTAAACATGGAGACTGAGTCCTTACTAGGGAGATACTGTTTGGTTCAAGGTGCATACATGTACAGTGTCATCTCTAAATTACAATGTCAACTTGTTTAGAGCAACTGTAATTTGGTCAGAGTCAATACTCCTGTTTTGTTTTACACTGTTGAGAAAAAGTGTCTCTCTTAGAGAGGTTGACTGCTTTCTGCTTGACCTAAACTCCTTAGGAGAAGACTAGTATGTACATAAGATCATATCATCATTCAACCTTACCTAAAGTCTGAAGTTCCCAATACAATGTCCGAGCAACCCGGATACACTGCATTAATGTATGATTGTGCGGTGCAGATAACATCCAATAGGATTCACACTGCTTGCTACAGTAGGTTACACTACAGGCTTCATACTGCTTACTATGTGATGTTACATACTACAGGCCACACACTGCTTACTAGATTATGTTACACACTACAGGCTTCACACTGCTTACTAGTTTATGTTATACAGTACAGCTTTCACACTACTTACTAGCATGTTACACACTACAGGCTACACATTGCTTACTAGGTTAAGTTACACACTACAGGCTTCACATTGCTTACTAGGTTATGTTACATAATACAGGCTTCACACTGCTTACTATGTTGTTTTACAGGTTACTCACAACTAACTTATGCTACAGATGCCCCGATGCAGCAGTAATATATGGAAAGGCTGGCATCCCAGGTTACATAGTTAGTTCATGGTAGGGCTACATATATAGATGATCATCCTACTATTTCTATATCTCTAGTGTACATACAGTCTTGAGTAATTACTATAGTGCAGACATACATATATACATGGTTACTAATGGCATGGTCACATTCATTGTAGGAAGAGCTTAATGTTTAATGCTGTAGAATTTTCAGGCAGGCTGTGACAGTACCAGCCACCAAAAAGTAACAAGACATCTGAATTTCACAGGACACTTGCATGACTGCCCCAAGAATGCCCTCAGTTTGCCATTGTACGATGATCGCACAACATTTGTGACCAGGGCTAATAAAGGGCCAGTCAAACAGTGTTCCCATGCACACTGATTTTACACATACCCAACTTACTAGTCACAACAAAACAACAAGGGATTGAGCACACACATGTAAACTTGTAAACTGCCTCTATACGAAAATATAAAGGGCACTTGGGAAGAGACTTGTATATTGCTGCATACTGTTGGGAACCCCTTAACCATAACAACACAATATGTTCACAGCAGTTTCAGTTAAATTACGACTGGATTCAATGTCAGGGCAGCAGTTCTTAAATGCCAGATGGCAGGATGCCATTCATATATCAAAAGAAGAACAAAGCAAAAGAAAGCTTTAGTAAACAATTCTTATTGATTCTGACTAAAATGAGCTCAGTCGTAAAAACAAACATCATCATTCTAACAACATCATCAATTAAAGGGACACACCCCAGTTTATTTTGAATCTCAATTGAAGGCTGCACACCTGCAAATCTAGTGACTGCCTTTTTCAGGAAATATTTCTGATGCAAAACAATTGTGTAAGGGGTGACGGGATATCACTCTAGCTACAAGAACAACCGAGTTTCATTCTCTTCAACCTTTCAAAGTCTAGTAAATTTAAGGGGATACAACCATTTTCTGGCCAAAACTAATGTACATGTGGAATTACACATGAGGCATTGAAATGCAGACTAAAGAATGCATCAAAAGGTACTCTCACGCAAGAGTGCTCATCAATGCAGAGGCATACCTGGAAGTAAAGTTCAAGCCCCAAACCAATTTTCACCAAAACACACCACTTACTTCACTTTTCAGCCATGTTGGTATTTAAAGTCATTTTGCAGCAGATTATTAGCGAGCACTACACGAACCCATCACAGATAAATTGGAGTGTGCACCAATTACACCACATTATCAAAAAGCAACCAGCTCAGAAACATAATTAACAAATAAAAGTTTCATACTTCAAGTGAAGTTGTGCTAAAATGCAACAATTACAATAACAAGTTTCTTCAACACCTTATGCCTAAAACATGTTGGAACATATATTAGGGATATATTATGTACAATATTAGCCCATTGTAGAGACTCTGAAGCACTAACAACTTTCAAGTAGATGTCATAATGACTATGTACAATCAGTGGCTCCTGCCGATTCCATCCTTCCTCGCTCACCAATGTCACAGAACCTACCATCTTATCTATCCAATAAGACTGTCTACTGTACTTAAGACCCTCCTGCTGTACTTAAGACCCATCTGCCAGACGGAGGTCCAGCTCCTCCTTCTCGGGAGCTTCCGTGGTGCCGTAGCTTTTGTGGTTGTTCTCCTTCGGTGGGGCTGACTTGGGCGGGGTGGTGGGCGACACGGAGGCAGGATCCATAAGTAGGGCAGACACGAATGGCTGTGGGCAAACAAAAAACATCAGAATGAGCGGTCAACACAGGAAGGTCAGACTGAAGCTTTAGTCAGGTGGAACTGTACACCCTGTAGGTTATCACTGATATCTGCAGGTTGGAGGGGGTTAGTCTGGTAGAACTGCCCCATGTGGGTTAGCACTGATGGCTGCAACTTGGAGGGGGTTAGTCTTGGTCTGGTGGGAGTGTCTCTTGGGATAACACTGATGGCTGCAGCTTGGAGGGATTAATCTGGCGGGACTGTCCCATGAGGGGTACTACTGATTCCTGCAGCTTGGAGATGGTTAGTCTGGTGGAATGCCTTCCTCTGTAGAGCAGGCAAGGGACAATGCAGCATGCTGGTCTTGGCCAAGAGAAAGAGAAAAGTTACACTAGGGAGCTTACCAAGTCCCCGATGTCGAATGGTGGGTTGAAAAACTAGAAGGAAATGTGATGAGAAGCATGAAGGTGAGATGTAAGAATGAAGTCAATGATGAACAGTAAAGACTTTATTATAGAAACTACCTCGAGAGTATTGAAGTGATGTCTACAGGCATACAGCTACAGGAGGAAAACCCTTAACTTTGTCACCTTGTACAGGTAGGGAAATTATTGCCATGTGTGGATAAACTAAATGTCACTGACTGATTGGTAGAATCAGTCAGTGGTACTGATTTGTAGAATCAGTCAGTGGTACTGATTGGTAGAATTAAATTTTGTTACTTGTTTACAGTAGCAAAAGTTTGCATTTTGAGAAAAATGGGCATGTTTGTGGAACTTATATGTTCACTGTGACGGCAGATGCAGAAAAAATAAAGTCAAATTATTTTTTGATGGTGATAAGATGTGACTGCAAAAACTGCAAACATAAAAGTACCGCGAAAAGAAATTAGAGTACTTACAGCAGTGGGGGAGCTGCCAGTACTGCCTGCCTCGTCATCAGTATCCGTGAATTGCTGAGAGGGAAAGAAAGATAGAGTCAGCCTGCGTGTGCACCAAGACATCAGTTATATTTGCTTAGTAATACATGGTATAGTACTAGCATGCTCTGCCCTACAATTTCATGTACTTGTGAGCCCAGCCCTACATGTACTTAGTTAAATGGTATTTTTCTGCCCAGTCCTACAGTTACATGTGTATGATTGTACTTACGTGGTACTTGTGTGCCGTCAGGCCACTGAAGACACCAAAACAGGTTTTAGCAATGATGAGAGCAAGAGTCATCACGAGGACCAGAGCTGTGACAATGGTGTGAGCATCCAGGGTACCTGTGAAAATAACAGCTAAAGTCAGAACCTGGGGGAAACATGTGTAACTTAGGTGAGAAGGACAGGTAAAGCAGTAACAGTCCTGGCGATAACTCAGGTGGGAGGACAACTAAAGCAGCACCTGGGATGAACATGTGTGGAATAAACTCAGGTGGGAGGGCAGATAAAATGTCTACTAAAATGAAACCGGATCATCAATATAGACTATGTCAGGGTGCATGGTACAATGTCAGAGCACATGGTACTACATGTATGTCACAGTCACAGCACAATGGTATTATGTCATGGTATCATAGTTGTAATAACTGTACATGTATGCAGTTATGGTTCTTTTCAGACAGATGCAAGAATACAGAAAAGTAGCATAAATAAAGTGGTCATTGTTGTACCATATTGCTATAGATATACTTTAGTTGTTATAACTATGTGCTATATGTATAACATACAATGCCACTCTAGGAAAGGTGGGAGGAAACTATTTGAGAATACAAATAATTATAATAACACTAGATGCTTTCTTTTTGAAAGTCCAGGGCATCTTGTTTGTAGCGCTTCTTCCTGGATGTCATTCAAAAGACCACCCATTCCTCTACATGTATACATTGTTTAAGTTATTATATCAGTATTTAAACTTAGTTGGAGATCTAGATTCCAAACCTCTAGACTCTAGGTGTTTCCAAAGTTCAAGTGACCAGACTTAGATGATAAGACTAAAGGGTTAGAAGAAAAGAAGAATCTTGGCACTCGAAAATGGCCAATGACAGAAAAAGCAATTGAAGTTGAAGGTTAACCCCTAACTTACGAATACGAGGCTGAACTGTTCCGGCACAAAAGACATGAGACAAGCATGACATGACAGGGAGTGCAGCAGGCAGTGGGAGGGAGAGAATATGTGCATGGTGAAAGTCAAAACATTGTCATGGAAATGTTGAAATAATAAAGATTTGAGAAAAACAACAAACATCAGTGCACGGAAGTGAGAAAACTACCTCTACTGTGTCAGAATAAGTAAGAAAACTACTCCTCTACTGTATCAGAAGAAGTAAGAAATTTACTGCTCTACTTTGACAGAAGAAATAAGAAAACTACTATACAGATGTCCAATAGGAGAAAAGACATGAAAGCTTCATTAGAAATGTAGTGTTGATGAAAGAGTGGCAGGAGCATTCAAGGAACAGTTTTGGATGGGATTCTATGTACATTTTGCACTACCTCAGGTAGATATGATAATCTGCTGGAGAAGCCTGTTCTACACTACTGTCTCATCATTGTACTGATGAAGATGCTAGAAGCATGATGTGGTGTATTACAGGTTACTATAATCTGCCTGACAGCTTGAATTTGTGGCTTGACAGGGACAAACAGAACAGATGACTTCCTAAAGCATCAGAGATGGGTGCTTGTACAACAGGGTGTGAGAGTGAAGCTGGTGCAGTGCAGAACTTACTGTCATCTCCTGTTGGGGTCCCGGTTATGGGACAGAAGTGTGCAACGGATGGAGGGATGGAGAGAGTGCAGCAGAGGAGGAAGAACAGTGTGAACATGCAACTGGTCATCACTTATCAATACACTGACTTCAATCTGATTATCACGTATCAACACACCGGCATAAAACTGATTATCACTTACATGTGTATCAACACTTCACCATCAAGATAAAGCAAAACTTCTCAACACAAGGGTTCAAATTGGTTATTACATGTCAACACACCAACTTCAAACTGGTTATCACAACAGCCATCTATTTATGTCTGTCAGATTCTCAATATATTCATACCTCAGAGACAGACAGACAGACAAAAAGACAGACAGACAGACAGACAAAGAGAAGGTGGAAGAAAAAGACGGACCACCTAGAGAAGACAGTAAATATGACAATCATATTAAAGTGTCTTGGCACTGACAGAAGGGACTAACATGTTTGGAGGATGAGCAGGGAGATGTGGGGGTGGTGGGCTGCTGTGTGTGTGTGTGTGGGTATGTGTGGGTGTGTTTGTGGAGGGTGTCCAGGGGTGGGGAGGATGTGGGGGACTGTGATCACTCACCAAGTCGGATAATGGAGAAGAAGAGCAGTGAGCACTGCAGCAGCACGGCAGCTGCGATGACGTAGTTGACGGCAGAGTTGTGGATGTCAGGGCTGATGCGGGAGGGGTTGTAGGCATAGTAGATGTTGTACCTGTCCACCAGGTGCTTCAGGATCATGTAGATCAAACCTGCAGGACAAGTACGATCTAGAATACTTCTGCATTCCATGCACACCAATCTAGTCCTCTAACTGGACAACTACAACAGTAAATAAAAAGAACTCCCAGAGGATATACCTCTGTCAAAGTCAACAGCTTTATGCTTGCCATCTAGTTTGCTCTAAAACTGCTAGGAGAATTATTCCATAATCCAACCACTACTTGCTAAGGGATGGCCTTCCCACAAACAAAAACTGTATCAGCTTCGCAAACCAAACAACAGACAAATGCCAGCAAAACATACTATACCTCCTTGCCATTAGTTCTCATGTTACTAAAGATTTCTTACCAAAGAGCAGACAGATGAGGTATGAGACCTTACCATAGTGTACAATGTGCAGGCAGGAGTGAGACCTGTATAAAACACTGCTGTGAGACCTTACCAAAGGGTACGATGAGTGGACAGGTGATGCTGTAGACAGTTGTAATGGTGAAGATGCACATCATCCAGGCATACTGCGTGCCGAACTGGAAGTCATACACAATCTCCTGGAAGACAAATAAACAACAATACACATGGTCAGCATGCTGATGTTAGGGCTCACCTGTCTGACAGGTGTGCAGGATGAGGTCAGGACTCACCTGTCTGACAGGTGTGCAGGATGAGGTTAGGTCTCACCTGTCTGACAGGTGTGCAGGATGAGGTTAGGTCTCACCTGTCTGACCTATCTGACAGGTGTGCAAAAGGAGGTTAGGTCTCACCTGTCTGACCTATCTGACAGGTGTGCAAAAGGAGGTTAGGTCTCACCTGTCTGACAGGTGTGCAGGATGAGGTTAGGTCTCACCTGTCTGACAGGTGTGCAGGATGAGGTCAGGACTCACCTGTCTGACAGGTGTGCAGGATGAGGTAAGGACTCACCTGTCTGACAGGTGTGCAGGATGAGGTCAGGGCTCACCTGTCTGACAGGTGTGCAGGATGAGGTTAGGTCTCACCTGTCTGACAGGTGTGCAGGATGAGGTTAGGTCTCACCTGTCTGATCTGACAGGTGTGCAGGAGGAGGTTAGGTATCACCTGTCTGACAGGTGTGCAAAAGGAGGTTAGGTCTCACCTGTCTGACCTATCTGACAGGTGTGCAAAAGGAGGTTAGGTCTCACCTGTCTGACAGGTGTGCAGGATCAGGATAGGTCTCACCTGTCTGACAGCATGCTTCTCAGCCTCAGTGCGGGTCAGAAGCAGCCACCAGGCGTACAAGATGAGCTCTGGGAAGCGGATGAGCTCGAGTGATGTTCCGATGAACCCTGACGTGATGACATAGTTCACAAAGAAAGCACCGTTGTCAGGCAGGAAGATGCACCTGCAGAAGGAAGCAGAGAGATGTCAGGTGGCTGCGGGGCAAGCAATCCAGCCAAAACATTGTTCACAAGATGCAAAATGTACAGAACCCTACAAAAAGACTTACGCCCATTTGGTCTGCTGTCCTTCTGGGGTAAGTGCAAATTCCACAAACGCCTTCAAACTGGAACAAGGAGGACACAACTACAGGTCAGAACATATTCAGATCAATCATATGGCAAGCTAAAGGCTTATGCCTCACCCCTCCCAAAAACACAGACACACACACAATCAACCACTTCCTCTGAGCCAAGACTTAATCATAAGTTCTTCAGTGAAAGATATCCTATTGAACACGAATTGACCAGGCCTCACCTTGTGAGTCCCAGCGAAGGCAAGATGAGAGTCATGAACAGCAAGAAGACAAACGTTTTCCTCATCACACTGTGGTTAAAACCCGACCTGCAAACAGTCAGAGGGGACACACATTTAGGCATTGTACAAAGTATGTGCCTGCAGTTTTACATGACAATGTGGAAGTGTGGAGAGCCTTACTTTGTCCAGTGTCCTTCCAAGAGAGAAGTTCGGTAGACCAGAACAGGCAGCACAGCAGTGAGTGTCCAGAGGAGTAACGTTGGCAGAGTCTGTGATATCAGTGGGCTCTGGGGGCAGCAAAGAAATGACTGTTAAATTATGTGTCATTGCATTCTAGGTATCACATGTATTATGCAAGAAAAGGACATAACATGTACATGACTGCCTCTACTTCAGTGGCCCAGTGCTTACATGCAGACCATCGAACAGTTTCTTGTAGTTCCACTGGTCCAGCGTGTTGAGGATGATGGCGGGCGTGGTCAGGAAGAAGAGAAAGACCAGCAGGATGATGTTGATGATGATGACGCGGAACCACCACGACACGCCCGAGATCGAGAGGTTCTCCCTGTGGGGGAGACATGAACACAAACCCGGTTTTATGGAAGATTCCGTACAGAACACAAATGTCAGTATGCAGCGTGCACATGTACCATTGGAATGTAACATGCAGATAAAGCTAGCAGACAGAACCAAAGCTTCTAGACTGACCAGTTGACGTCATCAGGTGCAGGAGCGAAGTCGACTGTCCAGTGCATGGACTGGACCTGTGTGCTGACGCTGGAGGCTGCGGGCGGGCCCTTCAGGAATGTACGGTAGTCACCAACAATCCTGGCAACAACAGACAAACAAACAAACATCACAATCCTGCCAACAACAAGCAAACAGCAACATAAAAACAAAGAAGACGATTTTTGGCACCTGCACCTACCTGGCAGCCACCTTGTCACTGTTGAAGGTGACAAAGGCCATGCCCAGGTCCTCCTGGAAGGACCTCTTCTTCTCCTGCTCACACTCTGCAGTCAGCCTCTCCTCCTCCTGCGTATAATACTCCAGGGCATCCACCTGGTGGAGACAACAGGACTTGAAGGACATGTGTACTTTACCCTAACCGAACCCTACCCCTGATGGAAACAGGAACTGCACGACTTGTGTACCAGCCTGTTATCACCCTAACCCTAACTCTCCTGATGCTGAAGACCTCTTGTCCTAAGGACTGTGTAAGTCCAGGAAACACCAGGACATTCTGTGATATGATGCTGGTGTGGACAGCCCATGTAACAACACACAACTGACTTCTTTAATATGTTTAATTAAGAAAAAAGTCCATACCTCGACCACCCCACACCTGGTGGGGCAGAACTTGCCACACAGCATGGGTTTGATGGTCAGAGGCTTCCCTGTCCGCTCATTAATCCTCTGGGTCTGAATCTTTGCTTGCTGAGCTGCCAGGCTGCCAAACAACACAGCAAAACAGCTTTGTTTTTTTGATTGTGAATCAATTTCAGATGAGCAGGAAATGATGGCGTAAGGTCTGGCACAGAACTTTTTATGACTGCCCCTAGTATAGAGGAAAAGCAATGCCACAAGTCAACTTAACACACAGACTGGTCTGATGAATTGTTTATACCGTTTCTTGTCAAGCTTCATGAGTTTTGTGATGTTGTAGGTGAACTGCACATCAGTGACGACAGCATCTGGGTACGCCTCCCTGTGAGAGGCATACAGCTAAAGTTATTAAAATTTTCACTTTTGGTTCTTAGTTTCTCACAGTTCATCTATTAGATTCCTATCTGGAGCCCCTGGCACACATAGCCAAATATGGCTTTTCAGCCTTCTCCAGACCATAGTTGGAAAGTAATCATCTGTGGTTGGGAGTTGGTCTGCAGGTTGCCTAATAGTTCATACTTACCATTATGTCATGCACATTTAGCCTGTTGTCAGCAGTAATGATTTTTAAGGGCAAGAATGCAATATAATCACATATTTCATAAATCTGCGACATTCGTAACGATGGAAGTTAGACTAGACAACTGTTTGACTTACATGAAATGTTTCTTGATGAGCTCCCTGTCAGTCAGCCCAATGGGCATGTTACGGATGAACAGCGTCCTCGTCACCTGAGCACATATGGTAACAACAGAACAGTTAACTATCTGCTTTCCTAACAGAACAGTTCACTACCTAATGTACTTCTGTACAGAAATCTATTGGGTTTCCAAAGATGCATGGGAATCAGGGATACTTTAATGTGTTCTACAGGACAGCTGTACATACATGTTCTTCCTCCCGGTACTGTAGGTTGGTGGTGAAGTGTCTCATGAACAGCACAATGGCGATCAGGTACAGGATGGAGAACACCGTGTGCAGCCACAGCAATGGGTTGCTAGGCAACAAACAAAACAAAATAAACATGTCACAAAGGTGATCCAGTACATGATGGAGAACATTGTAGGGAATGGTACAAATGTTTATGCTACTGTCACAGCTGACCTTCCTGGCTAACACAGAGAATAACCAAAATGAGTTGGTCAAATCAGTGTTAAAATTCACATCATGTAGCTGCTATTTCTACTTGTTTCACATTTGACTCACTGCAGAACACTTAGGACATTGGACTAATTGATTCTTCATGATGTTGGACAAAGGAACATAATATTAACACTGGAGAGAAATAACTTACTTAGACTGTAGGTTAGAAACTGTCGTCCTGCCAAACTGATCTGGACCGCCCTCTACACAACAACAAACAATTATAAGGTTAGACATAAACAAAAAAGTCAAGCAACATGTCTCTGTTGAAATTTGATCGGCCATTATATCCTGTAATTGGCGTAACACACCAGTATCAATCATCATCAAACCTCAAATCTGCTGAAACAATAGTAGGTTGTATTGTCAATTTTGAAACCTAAAGATATCATGAAGGACAACAAGTGCTAAAGCAAAAAGCAAAACGCATGATCATATGGAAAACTTGTGTGAGAAGTTGACTGGAAGGAGTGATGGCTGGAGGGTTAATCTCACCTTGTGTGCCTGAAAAGTTGACTGGAGGGAGTGACAGTTGGAGGGTTAAGTCTCACCTTGTGTGCCTGAGAAGTTGACTGGAGGGAGTGACAGTTGGAGGGTTAAGTCTCACCTTGTGTGCCTGAGAAGTTGACTGGAAGGAGCACAGCGATGGAGAAGACGGTGATTATTGTGACAAGGACCAGGACGTAGCGCTGGAAGGTCATGTACTGCACCGCATCCAGTCCGCATTTGTACGCTATCATGTCATCTCTGTAAGGAGACGAGGATACTGTAGACACCATGGACACGACTGACATGCATATGCATACTACCCGGTAGTAACATTGTCCTACATTAAAGATGACATTTACTATATCAGTGAGTGAGTGTATTGTCTTGTCAGCAGGGCTACCCCTTTGTAATAGCCACCAGCAAGTTGATGAAGAATAAATTAAAAAGGATAAATTTCCTTCAATAAGGCATTCTCAAAATCTCAGGTTTTCTTAGTGTACAGAAGTGACCGCTTTATCTCCCAGGACCCTCCTTGCACACAGCCAGCCACTGGGAACCTGCCATCATGTGCCATGTATCCACAAGTGGGTTGGAATTAGAGTTAAATCCCTAATGGCCCCCACTCTTACAGTAGCAGTAACCCTTACCGTAACCCTTTCATGTGTCCACAAATGGACCAATAAAATCCTAATCGTCATGCCTTGTGATGTCATTATTACCACAACTCTCATGACCTTGGAGGGGAATGATGGCTGTTCAGCAAGACTTCCAGTACAGGGGACAAACTATCCACCAATTTTTACACAACTAGCAATTCATATGATCTGCATTCCTGAAGAGAAATTTAGCAAATGACTGCTCTTGTACACTGGAAGTTAATCAATACATGACTAGCTTAAAAAAGTTCAAGGCAGCATTTTTAAAGGTGAAGATGTGAAGTACACTTACTTTATTTTAAATATAGCTGGAACCCAGGAACAGAAACCCTGGAAAGGAAATATTTAACATATTGATGTTGCAAAATCACTGTGATAGGACTTCATAGATCATATAGAACAGGCTTCACACATTGCTGCTTCTTACTATCGGTACCTGTAGTACAAGATGTGACTAAAGATGTGACTATGAATCATTCAATGTGTACAAGAATTGAACAGTCTGTGATGTGATATTTGTTGCTATTTGTTCTATTGAAAAATGGTCACACAATTCTACCCAATTTCAGACTTCTTACTATAGTATATTCCTTTATCCTTTCTGAATGAAAGGAAGCAATGACTAGTTAATGTCCTTAAGGGAGATTGCTTTGTCTTTGGGCAGATCTCACACCATCAATAATGCTGCTGCAATGGGACATAATGGGACATAAACCTTTCTTCCACATACCCAGTCAGATACCAGGATCTACAGAACTTACCCTGTCATGGATATCAGGAGCTAGAGAACTTACCCTGTCATGGATACCAGGAGCTACTGGATGGCTGCTCAAACTTTCCCTGCTTTCCCTCCCCACAGATGTCTCTTCATCAAGGTTTTTTCCCTCTGGTGGAGGTTCATGATCCCCATAAAATATACTGGTCCACCTGTAGGCATGGGAACATGTCATCAAGGGTACAGGCTGGAGCAAAGGAGATAGACTGAAGGAAAAATATGACTTCTGACCATTATTTTTTATATTTGGAAGATACCAGTAAACAAAAAAGACGTCAAAAGCTTTCTTTGTAAGAAATCCTTTGAAAAACAAAATACTGAATCTTTCTGCCAACCATTTTGTTCCCATGGTGACCTGAATAACAGCCATTAAGCTTTATCCATAAGATCCCCCATGGCAGATATAGGTCACCTGAAATGTGAAGACTAATGGCTTTTTACTATTTCGTCTCAAATTGGGTAGAAAATAACATCGTTAATCATGTCATTCTACAGTCAACAACATCAAAGAAACTACAAGTGGTACAAATACCAAGTAAGACTTTTTAATACATGTATATCAATAGAAGTACTGTATATCAACTATATGAACTATATGAACAAGGAAATAGCATATACGTTAACTAAATAAAGATACCACTTGCAACAAATGGCAGCAACAGAAAAGTAAACTGAAATCCCTACACATCATATTGTACCGCCCCTTTGCCGTTGCTTGACAGTACACGTGTCCTAAAAGAAACAAAATATGAAAAAAAATTGTGTACATAAATGACATACCAACAAAATTTGTTTACATGCAACTTATGAAACATTCAACAAACAATAGATACTCAAATAATTATGTATATTTACTTAAAATGGGAAAGAAGCGAAAAAAATGTTGTGATTCCCATAACCTTGCCATCCTCGGTCACAATCCAGAAATACCAAATATTGAAGTACAATCTTACAGCAGAAGAACAGTGCCACTAATCCCTAATGCTACAGTACGAAGTACGAATATCAGACCTTTTTGTAGCCTCATTGGTTGAACCTGCTTATTTCTTGGATCTGTCTATATGTAAGATAAAGCAGTCATTCTACATAGAGGTGATGCAAATAGCTAAGTACAAGACTAAGTGCAATGTAATATTTTTGCTATTGGTGTTTCCAGCCAAGCACACAGGGTCATGCACCCCTGCTCATTTTAATGAGTAATGTGTGAGTTGTTCTTTTACATGCTAAAGCTCCCCAATGTATGGACTAATGGCCATGTTGGTCGTCCCAAGAAGGGTTCAAACCCTATTGCTCTGGATCGACAGAATTTAATTCTCACAGGGAAACCATTTCTGACATGGATGTCTACAGAGGAACAAATATACTGTCATGAACTAATGACAGGAATGACAAATGTTGGGTTGACAGTGCACCATATAACATATAGCTCTATATAACACATAGCTCTTTTATTTCTGTCCTTGGAACAAAGGAAAATCATAACATGGGTAGTCTTCTTCCCTATCATGCCTGTAGCCCTACTATCATCAGGCTTCTGGGCAAGGTGTGACTTTATTTGTGAACCCAGCTTTGAGGCTTTACAGTGATATTGATGAATGAGGAGGGGAGGTCGGAGACCACTAAGGAGAAAACAGTAGAATATCAACACATCAGGAATTATAGGATCAGGTCCTGACCATTAGGCAGCCTTTGTAGCTGTTGAGGAAATGAAAACTGTAGTTCATTAAATTTTCTTGCACTCTGGCGTAATGTTACCTTTCATCTGCTCTTGACATAAGTGCCAGGCGGCCGTAGTCCCAGGCGATCTTCCGCAGCACAGCAGACAGCAACAATAGCAGCTGGGAAAACCATGATAACAGTATAAACAGTATCAGTATATATGTAAGGTATATAGGTACATACATATATATGTATTATACTATATATAGCCTCCTGCTGCTGTAACAAAGGGCACTTTTAAGGCTCCTCCTCCTGGCCAGCAGCAGGTTAATTAAGTTAACAGTGAGGGCAGTTAGTTATGAGGTACCTGATGCTCAGACATATCAGTAATGAAATGAGGCAGGCATGGAGCTCGAGTTTGATGAAACTGCTTGTGTGTAGGGAGGCATTTAATCTTGTGTGTAGGGAGGCATTTAATCTGGACTAATGGATACCGTGCCCTGTGGCAGGACTTGAGTACAACTTCGGGGAGAACCAAACACACCAACAAGGGCTTCACAACATACATGAAGAATGTACCATAGATAAGTCAAAATTACAACAGAAACATGGATGTGGACGGATCACTTCTGAACTACACGAGTATCACGGCTTTTTTCCCCACCATAATAATGTCAACATGTAATGCAATTTCTGTCTTATAGCATATACATGAAGATGCTGCGAGTAGTTTTCAATACACCACGGTGGAAACGTAGTACTAAATGAACAGTTATACGGATTGTTACCAAATGTAACTAAAGTTAGAGTTTGAGTTAAATGTCGACGACTAAGCGTGGCCGGTGATGATGATGATAGCATTTTTGGGCACACATTTCTAGTGTAGTGAGTGCTGGAGTTGTACTGGGTTGTAATATGGAGTTGTATTGAGTTGTAATGTGGAGTTGTACTGGATTTGTACTTACCACCCAGGCTGCCATGTTGAGCCCCAAGTTAAAGGGAATGCCTCCATAGTAGAGCTGCTCCTGGACCAGGATGGATGGCATGCCTCGCCCCGTGACATTGCGGATGTAGACGTCACATTTGGCGGCTGCTGGAGACAGACTGGTGTTGGGCATGATGGTGAAAGGAGTGATGGAGGCGCCGGCCTGTAGGTTCAAGCCGTCCCTCAGACTTATCGGGGTGACAAACTCGGGCAGGTTTTCCCCCATGGCTGCAGGATGTTCTCAAACCTCACAAACGAGCCTGCAAAAACACATGTAGTAAAATTAGCTTTCAGTCTTTGTGCTCTAATACCCTTCCTAAATTTTGCACCCCCTATTTAGCCTCTGGCAGCGAGACACTGTAGCATAGGCCATGACTCTTCCATACACATTGGTATACCACATAGCTTAGACGTTTATTTGTATTCTAAACATATATCCCAATCACAGCCACCTCAGCCGGGGACATATCCCAGACATGAAACAAGTGCTTGCCTACATCTGCGAGCCTTCCTTACCATATATGGAGTCATCATGGACTAAGCATCAGTACACCTTGTGCATAAACACGAAGGCTACCTGACATGTCATGTACTATGTACCAGATAAACCATGCAGGATTTCTACCATTGTGACATGTTGTGTGCATATTTTTTCTGAAGTAATGTACCAAATACTTAATATTTATGATTGGTTCACTCATAGTTTCTAAAAGG